GCTTTTATTATTATAGAAAATTTGATACAAAGATAGAGATAGCTATTTAATAGCAGCACTTTAGCACCATACAGAGTAAATGAAAACAGTTTTGAACCAGGATTCTTTGGAACTGTTCTCAAATTATATAATGCAGCAACTACATACTTTATGTGTAACTCTAACAAGCGTAGCACACTCATCAACAAGCACTCAAACGGTCAATCATTGTCTGCCTTTGGTATTTTTAAATAGTTGCCTTTAAAAAAACTAGCATAAATATTTAATCTTTAATTTTGAAAAGAAAAGCGATTTACTTCCTGATGACATTCTGAAGACTTTCTACAATCCAATGCTCAAGTATCATCAAACAACTATTGTATGAAGGCCTTTCATGGTTCTACACATTGCTTACTTCTTCCTTATGCCTGGAAAGCCCTTCTCCCCCTTGCTAGCTAGCTAAACATTAGCTCTTGGTATCTCTATTACTGCACTAATTATACTGCACTGTAATTTTAAAAACATATCTGTTTCTCCACTAGGCTAAAAGTATATCTGGGATAAGAGCTATGAATATATATATATATATATTGTTGATAGTATTACAGATGTCTCCCCTTCCCCCCTTCTCTATCCTCCTCCTCTCAGCTCCTACCCAGCCCCCTAGGTGTTCACCACCCTATTACCGTGTCCATAAGCTATGCATATAAGTATAGCTTTTGAGCGCTTTGGTTTACCTCTTCTCGTCCCCCCAATTCCCACATCGAGGTATGTCAGTCTGCTCCATGCTTTGGTTCTCATTTTGTTGGTCTATTCATTTTATTCATTAGATTCCACAAGTAAGTGAGGTCATGTGATATTTGTCTTTCTCAGATTAGCTTATATCACTTAGCATAATAGTATCCATGTCCATCTACGCTGTCCCAAAGGGTAAGACATCCCTCCTCTTTTTTACAGATGCACAGTATTCCATTGTGTATATCTCTTGGTCATTTGTATGTCCTTTGGAGAAATGTCTATTCAGGTCCTCTAGGCCTATGATTTCTATTCCTATTAACTAGCACAGGACCTAGTACATGGTAATGGCTTTGTAAACATTTAATGAAAAAAAACAAAACACTACATTCCTGCAGGTGGGCATTACAGGAACTTTACTCTTTGTGACATTTATTAAAACAAATTAAGTTAGAACTATCTTCCCTAGAGATCATTAGGCCTCTACAGTTGAGTACATATTGTAAGCTATTTCTTCAAAAAAGTGCTCCAGAATAGGCTTGTGAAAAGATTTCATTTGTTTCAAATCACCAAGGAAAATAGCTGATATTCAAACTGTTAAAAAATGATTGCCCATAGATATTGTAAAACACCATTCCTTTTTCACCTAGAGGGAATTATGCCATTCATAGTAATGGTGTAATTGATGTATACTCAATTTCTCCAACTAGATTTTTTACTCCATATAATGAAAAGGAAAATGCCTATTTCATTTTTCCCATTATAATTGAGGATAACACTAAAACAAGTAATACATGTTATATAAGTAAACTGGGAAAACTGGAATAAAAATCAATCTAAACTATAAAGCTACTGGGAAAACTCTTTGGCATTGATCTTGGCAATGATTTGTGCATGTGACACCAAAAGTGCAAGCAGCAAAACCAAAAATAAGCAAATAGGTCTATCAAACTAAAAAGTTTCTGTACAGCAAAAGAAACAATCTATACTAATAAAGGGGTAATATGCTAATAACCCCCGGGGAGGACAGTTAGGGGATTTCAGGCCGGTGGGGGGGCCAATTAAGGGTCACCAGGGGGGGGGGGGGGGGCAGTTAGGGGCAATCGGGCTGGCAAGGGGGGGCAGTTGGGGGTGAGCAGGCTGGCAGGCAGAGTGGTTAGGGGCGACCAGGCAGGCAGGCAGGTGAGCAGTTAGGAGCCAGCGGTCCTGGATTGTGAGAGGAATGTCTGACATCCCTGAGGGGTCTCAGATTGGAGAGGGTGCAGGCCGGGCTAAGGGACACCCTCGCATTGTAAACCTTAAACTTACATGTATTATATGTCAATATATCTCATTAATAAAGCTGGAGAAAAGAATAAATACAGATGATATAAGACTAATGTTGTTTGATTAGGAAAACAGAGTGACAATGGCTGAAGCCCCAACATCATTTTAGTCTGTGATTTTTAAAAAGTCTAATAAATAATATACTGTAAACACGGGGAATAAGTATTCCAAAACTAGTGTGTTTGCAGTTAAAATCCAAATTTTATGAATACGTATGACAACAGATGTTATGAGAATTTCACAAAATTATTTGGGGCAAGGAGAGACACCTGAGTTAAACAGCTATGGATTCCATTAAAAAATCAGAGGGGCTATAAAAGCCAGCTCCTATGAATACAATCTTATTAACATAATAAAAACTATAGCTTTTCACACTTATTGCACAAATCTTCAGGTGAACAAAAATAGTTCACATGATCTGCAACAAGAAACAAACAAAAAAAGATGGCAAGTAAGAAATGAAAGTAATTAACAGGTAATTATGAGGAATGCATGAGATGGGTGATGGTGGAAGTCCATGTGATGATTGCAGGCAAACCCAGAGAACTCTCAAAATGTAGGAAACAAATTTATTATCATAACAATCCTTAGAGAGAAGAAGCAAGGAAATGTTATCATACAATGAGACCTTTCACAGGAAAACTAGTCAAGGCTACAAAAGAATCTTATAGTCCTATCTGCTTCCTGTCTGTGCTTTGTAAAATCCACCCCCACCATCCACCCCAACCCAGATAGTGAACTCTGATAATGGTCTAACATTGGCTTTCAACAACAGTCCAACTGAAATGACTGGTGATAAGAGCATGCCTTTAGACACAATTATCAGTACCACATGCTCTAGAAACTACAACTCTGCATACAGCACTGTTTCAGAGGCAGCTTTCTTTCTCCTTTCCTGTCTTATCTTTTCCTCAGTCTTTCCCTGAAAAATTAACTTTCGAATATGTAAGCAAAAGATAATTAAGCTCAAAATACTTAAGAGTAAAAGAATGAAATTTGATCTTCAAGTGAGTAATCATCATGTGTTTTTGGCACACTTCGTCCATTCACAGAATATCTCCTAATAAACGAAAATTGCCATTCTCTTCATGGCTAGCACATTCATTCATTAATTGAACAAACACCGATGCCTTCTGTACCCAAAGCACTATGCCAGACATATGGGACACAAACAATAAGTTCTAATTATTCTTTGATTATTCTCTTATAAAGGCAGTTCTTGAAGCCATAGTCTAGTAAGGGAAAACTCCATATTAATAAATAGGGGGAAAATATAGAGAAGAATTTCTATACAATCCCTGGAAATAGCTGGGAATCAATATATCAACCCTGTACTGCCTATCTCTAGACATTTTGTTATTTGAAAAAATAAAATCTCTAATTCATTCAAGCATCGCACTTAAAAATTAAGTTTTATATATATAAAGAGTTATATAGTTTTACAAGTTTTGAAAAACATTTTTATTGCAGATAAAACACAAATATAGAAAACCATAGAAATTAAATTCACAGCTTAGTGAATATGTTATAAACATGGGGAATGAATGAAATGGGTGATAGTGGAAGATGGTGAAACACTACCTAGATCAAGAAGAACTTTGCCCTTTTTTGGCTTTTTTTCCAGCTATATTTGAATTACAAAACAAGCAAACTTACTATTGGCATTGGCTTACTATCCCACTCTACCCATATCAAAGGATAAATTATAGAATTTTAATTTTTCTGAAAATTAGGAATTGGCTTGTTTAATCCTAATGAATCATTGCATGAAAAGGAAAGATTGATAAAGCAAACTTTAAATAAATCTTTATAAAATCTTTACCATTTTACCTATGCAGCTGGTCTCCTTCAAAGTTCTTAGATGTTCCTGAAGCCTATTATTACTAGATTCTACCATTAAAGTTTTTATAATGGGTCAGCAAAACAGGACACTACACCTTTGATTCTATTTAATAAAACAGATTCCAACTTCCAGCACACTGTAGTAATTCAAAGATTACCACTTTCAGGGGAGAAGAGAAGAGCTTAGAGTTTGAACTATTGCGGGGAGGCAGATGTAAAGGGGAAGAACCACTGCTCTGGGCTTGGTATCACCAGCCATCTTTATTAAGATACTAGAAAACTCTATGGTTTTTTTAAAATTTTGTTTTATTGCTTAAAGTATTACAAAGAGTATTACATATGTCTCCTTCTACTTATGTTTAATCTCTTCTAAGGCTTTCTAAATTTGACTGATTGAAATAGCAGAAGAAGAATAAGGATGGAGTCACTAATGAAAAAGAAGTGGTAAGGTACAGAGCTGAACAAGGAACAAAATTTGTGCAAGGAACTAAGAATTCTATGGAGAAGCAAGTATGAAACCCAGGGCAGGAAAGGTTATAACTGGAAAAAGACAAACACAGATGGGGAACAATGACAAAGGCTGAATCAAAGAGAGGGGGCACTCATGCGCAGTCATATATAAAGGGCAATTAAGTGGTAAAGTAATTGGGAATCTGACATGCTTACTGTTAAGTTACATTACTCCTAAAATGAAGCACAGAGCTGTCCAATGTACAGAGAGCACTTCTAGTGCCTCCCCCCAATTCTTTATCCTAGCCATTGGTCGGATAAGGACGACAAGATTTTTAGTTTCATCAGACAAAATTCTATAAAACTAATTCATCTAAGGAAAAGCAAAATACACTATCTTTTCATCTTTTAAAGCATAAAGAAAATATGTCTACTTTTGAAAAATCTAATTGACTCCAGAGCAAAAAGGGCCTGGGTTAAAGTGTTTTGTGTGTTTTCTTTTTTTTAAAAAAAAGTATTAGCCATGTAATCATATATTTTACATATCAGCTATATAATGGTTTGCTTTTTATTTTCTTGATTCAGGTCAGGTGATGTGAGCTTAAAATAAATCTTTTTTTGTTTTTGGTAGGCTTCCACAAGAGGAGTTTGAAAGTCGGAGAGCATACCCAACTGCTGGAACAGGAGAGCCACACTAGCGCCTGTGACAGGAAGACTGTCATGCAAAGGGGTCTGGATCAGCTGCCTATCTCCTGCGCCCAAGGAGAACAGCTTCTGCAGAATAGGGAAAACACACACACAAACACATCAATGATTTCTTGCCAGACATATTCTTAAGGTAAAAAAAAATCCCTTTGTTATTCAGATTTTGAGCCAATGATGAACATATTAAGATCCAATTAATAGATGCAAAGGGTGATAACATAATCCAAAACATTCAAGTTTCTTTGTGCCCAAGTGAATATGTACAAGAAAATTCAGTAGTTGAAAATTTAGTAACAATGAAATACAAAATCATTGCCAATCATACTTAACTGAAAAATAATAAAATGTTAAAGTCAACATTTATATGCCAATTATATCTCAATAAAACTGGGAAAAATAAGAGAAATGTAATATGAACCCTATATGTAATTTTAAAATTTCTAGCAGCCACAATAAACATGTTTTAAATTAAAAAAATAAACAAAATAAAGTCAACAAAAATTCCACTAAAATAAAGGCCCATAAAACAATTACACTGCTTTAAAGGTTAGATTCAATTGTGACCAAACTCACATTTCAAATTCTACCTTTGGAGCACAAGTAGAAGAGTAAGGAAGGCAAAAAGGGGGATAAAAACTTAAAATAACAAAAGACACTAGGATACACAGAAGACCGTTAAAAAGGCAAAACACAGTGAAAAAAATGGTAATGTCTTTGTAAATAATCTTGGCCAGACTGAGGTTAAACCATGTAATTTACATAAGAATAAGCAAATTAAGTGATCAACTAATCAATTCTAGGGCTTAAGAAAAGAGTCTTTAAAAAAAAACATGGTGCCTTAGGAACATTAAATCATAGAGCTGAGGTTCTTATTTTTATATTTCAGATACAGCTATGATAATCTTAAGACATACAGAAGATGAAAATCACATGACCATTTTGAGAAAGTTTTATGTTAGTAAAAGAACTTAATTTAATTTCTCATTTGAGGCTCAATCTATGGCAAAATCCTGGGGAAAATTTCCAGTATAGATTATACTTTCCAAAGATCTGTGAATTTGGACCATCGTCAATATTGCTATTATTAAAGATAGCAAACTGACATAAGAAAAATAAACCCTTTCAAATTTAAATGTAAGCTATTCTATTAAAGATTACACACAACACTCAAAATAGCTTTAGGACCACATATAATTACTGTTATTCAGGGAAATGAATTAATGACTCTATTCAAAAATAATTATAAGATTACAAAAAACTGTTCTGAAAATTTTCTTAATGTTATCTAATTTTTTCACTCCAAAATTTTCTGATTTAATTAAATGAGGTATAACTATATAGAGGAATAAAAAGAGTGTAAAGAACACATTTTAAAAGTTCAACTTTAAAAAGTATATTCCCAAGAAAATGTAAACTGGAGTTCAAGTTACACAAAATATGACTTCTAATTATGCTATGTGAAAGGTGACCCCTGTGTTAAAATTAACCTCATGACCTAAGAAAAGAATGGAATCTTGGGTCTCTAGAAGGCAGACCATAGGGACAATGCTTAACTAAACTAAAATCCTCTTTAAAATGAAAATATTTAAAGAATTCTTTTTCCCCCTTTTCTTCACAAATTAAATTAACTGGGAGAGAGGATAAGAGAAACAGGCACTCGCCACTACCTTTTTTATTCAATTTACCTGAGACCCTCCAGCCGCTGGGACAAGGCATGCACACAGGTTTGCAATGAGACTTTCCAAAGAGACATTCAGACTGTCCACATATACAGTGTAGATCAAACCCAGGCAAGCCTGCAAAGGGACATGCATGCAGTTAGTTCATGAAAAGAGTAGGCACTAAAAATAAATTGCTGTGACATCTGCCCCTAGGAAAATTTCTCTTTGAACCTAGCAGAACACATTGGACAGTGACCATGAAATAAATTTTAAGCAGCAAATGTTATTAAGTTTATTAAGTTTTCCTCCAGAACCAGAACCTCTAAATGAGCTTTTGAGAGGAGTTTATAAAAAGCAGAAATCCATCATTTGTAAAACAGGTGTTTGTGCTGAGATAACCACTCTAGCAAATTTGTGGGTCTTAAAACTGTTGTTATTGTGTGTGGGTTCTTTTTTGGTCTCAACTTACTTTGCAAAACATCAAATTTCAAGATAAACATTTAGAAATTTTATCTTGTTTTGTGATTCTTATAAATTCAGAACATTTATTCTACATAACAATGTAACTTATATGAATTATTACAAAAAGAAAAAATAGGGACAAGATACGATTAACACTTTAAACTCAGAAGAAAGTAGGTGATAAAAAGGAAGACAAAGTACAATCTTTATGAATCTTTCAGCTTATTAAATGTTGTAACTCTAAAACATTATTATTTGTTAGGAATCACCTTACTGTCATTGAAATACTGACACCAAGTTAATTTTTCTAAAATACATATAATCTCAACAATATGGAAAAGTATGCCAGAAATTATGATTTATTTCCCAAATCCTTGGGAACTTTTGGGGTATAATTTATATTTCCAGAGAACTATAATTTTGGACCATGGTAACATTACTAAAACTAAAGGTAGCAACTGAAATAAGAAAAAAATAAGCCCTCTTCTTTCAAATCCTACATATATTTATATCTAAATTAAAACCTGTTCTTACATTTGAAAATTCTGAGTGTTTAGAAAGCAAAATATCTGAAAGTAAAAAATATTCTAAAGCTATTTTGGCAAGGGTAGGATCAGAACTATTTGAAAACACAAATACCCCTCCTCTTCGTTTCAACCTGGATTGAACAAAAGAAGGTGAATAAAAATACACAAAGTAGTATATTACTAATGTATTTTAAATATGCTACAGGTAATCAAATTATTTCTTTGAGATATATACATTTTGGAGTCAGTAAAAATGTTTTGGAAAAAAGCACTACATTCTTAAAATTTAAATAGTCACATTAACTTACTCAGTTATTTATTTCATCCAATATGAAAATATGTCTGCTGTTAACAGTAATTTTATTGACAAGTTCCCAAATCAATTTATTTTAGCTATAAAGATGTTTTAAATACTAAGAACTTGTCACCATGGTTCACTCAAAACAGATTTATACAATAATATATGTCAATGATGACAATGAGGAGTTCTTTACCCTAAAAATTTCTGGATAATATAATCTGGATACCAGCACCAGGCTTTTGGGAGCAAACACTTCTGCAGGCTGAATTAAACCAGTCACTTCCACTTCACCTTCAATCTCTTCCTTCTTTGTTCCCTAGAAAAAGAGGTACCATAATCAACACAGAATTTCCTAGGTTTATAACTCACAAAAGAAAGACATATACACTTCCATATAATTTACAAAATCCAAATTTAATTCAAAATAATATATAATATAGTTTACAAAACTGAAACTAAAAATAAAGAGCATACTTTGAAAGGCATCAAAATTATAAATCAGGACACACTTATTTCATTTTTGAAAAGCTCCAAATATATACCACAACTTTATTTGAGCATCTGGTTTCTGTGTGAGGTACCAGTAATAAAAGGTAAATTAGACATATTCAACTTATTTAAATAGCAATCCCAAAACTAAAAAGCACATTCATTTAAATGGAAAGTCAGCATAATGATCTCCAGTTCCATCCATGCCATTGCAAATGGCAAGAATTCCTTCTTTTTTACAGCAGCTTAGTATTCCATTGTGTAGATGTAACACAGTTTTTTAATCCACTCATCTGCTGATGGGCACTTAGGCTGTTTCCAAATCTTAGCTATAGTAAATTATGCTGCTATGAACATAGCTAAATAAGCCCATCAGAGAAAGATAAATATTACATGATCTCACTCATTTGTGGAATAAAATGAAAAACATAAACTGATGGAACAAAAACAGATCCAGAGACAGAGAAGCATCAATCAGACCATCAAACCTCAGAGGGAAGGTAGGGAGGGTGGGGGTAAGGGAGAGAGATCAACCAAAGGACTTGTAATGCATGCATATAAGCACAACCAATGGACACAGACAACAGGGGTGTGAGAGTATGAGTGGGGGGGGGGGGGAGGGGAATAAGGACACATATGCAATACCTTAATCAATAAAGAAAAAAATGGAAAACAATTTTAAAAATAAATGGAAAGTCAATTTTCAAGAAAAATCTGTTTTAGAAGTCAGGCACTAGTTTTAATTTCTGTTTTCCTGCTTGTCTAAATCTTTCAAACAAAAGTGATATTCATTTAGAATTCCAAGGCTTGCAGAATGCTCCATGCTCTCGGAAGTAAAGCACAATCAGCTCTAAATTCCTTTTGGCCCTAAGCAACAAAGTTGATTTTTTAAAAAGAAAGAATATTTTTATACACAAAACTAAGTTCCAGAATGAGCTTCATGCCTCTGAACTGTGCATTTAAAAATGGTTAAAATGGCAAAATTTTTGTCATATATATTCTAGCACAATAAAAACATGTAAAATAAAAAAAATTAGTTTCAATGACTAAATATTATTGGTTAATGAAATAAACTTTGAACATTATTATTCTCATTTATTAATAAACATTTCCTGTGCACCTATTGTTCCATAATACTTTATAAAGTACTATAAAAGTTTTAAACAAAAAATAAGACAAAGTAGTAAAACATTCAGATTTCTAGATGGTACTATAAGATGTAAGGACATTTTTTCTAACTAGAATCCTCTTTTCTTTCCTTTCCAATAATCAAAGGTCAGCTTAAAATGTATCTTCCTTCCTGAAGCCTTTCCTTGACTGATTTTTCTCTTACTCTAATTCCTGGTACAGTTCAGCAACATATCACATTTGGTTATACTTATTACTCCTGCCAAACCTCTCCCCAAAATGCCATATCCAACTTGACATCTCCACTTGAATAACTAACAGGCATCTCAAACATGGAAATCATAGCTTCAATCTTTCTCACCCAAATTCCACTTCTGCAGTATTCCCTATCTCAGTTATTGAAAATCCTATTTTTCCATTTAGCAAATCAAAAATCCTGATTCCCCTTTCTTTCATATCTCATATCCAAACTGCTAGCAAATCCTAATTTCTCACCCTCTCCACTGCTACCACAATACTGTGAGCCACCATCACTGCTTGTCTGGATCATGGTAACAGCCTCCCTCAGTCTGCTCTACTCCTCCTTAGCTCCACTTTGCTTCCCTGCTGCTCCTTAAACATGCTGGGCGTCCTCCCAACTAAGGGTAGTAAGCATTTGTTCCTTATTCCTTTGCTTGGAATACTCTTTCCACCGATATGCTAATGACTAATTCTGTCATCTCCATTAGGTCTTTATTCAAGGGACATCTGCTCTTTAAGCCTTTGCTGGCACCCTGCTTGAAACTGCTAGGCCCTAACACTCCCTATCCACTTTCCTTGCTTTATTTTCATCCATGGCACTTGTTATGTTACCATCCACTATATTATCCATTTCACTTATTTTGTGTTTTGCTCCATGAAGACCAGGATTTCTGTCTAGTTTCTTCCCTGGTAATTTCCCACTTCCTAAAACAAGAGCTGAGCACATAGTTGATACTTATTTACTCACTGTATATATTCAAGGGGGGAACTATCCATTTAGTTTTTCTATGTGTGATATGGTCCATACGCTTTTGAAAGATTTTCATTTGTTACAAAGCAAAAGCTAAAATTAGGTTGCTTGCTTTCTGGAATCCTTACAAATAATAAAAATGTGATGAATATAAATTTACCCAAGATTTCCACACCTAATTAATCATATTCTTCATGGATTACTAATAAATTTGAAATGACAAAAGAATGACTGAAATTCTTGAAAGAGATAAAGCTATCCACATTTTTATGAGATTGTGATAAATGCCCTAGAGTAACATTAGAAGTCAGCTTGAGTAAGTAGATAACCATTTCAAATAAATGACCAGTAACCTACTTTAACCAAAACACAAAACAGAATGCATCGGTCATTTCTTAAAGCTTAATTTAGTTCTCTAAGTAGAATAGTTATTAACAAGAAAGAAGATCCAATATAATTTAAATCAGTGTTTATATCCTTTTAGTACAGACGTTGACCTTTACTTTGTAAATGGGCCATAAATCATAACATGTTGTTATTCTAAATTCCAATAGCTCTCATACAATACATCTTAAGTTCGGAGAAAATTCATTTTTTTTTTTCGAAGCAAAATGTACTGCTATGATAAAAAAAAAATTTAAATCTCTAAACAGTTGATCAAAATAAAGTTTGTTTTAGGAGATGATAACATGGTGTTTTTTATCAGATTTTTCTATTAACTTATCATGTGAGGCAGGGGTGGGGTACCTTTTTTCTGCCAAGGGCCATTTGGATATTATAACATCATTTTCGAGCCATACAAAATTATCAAATTAAAAATTAGCCTGCTATTTTTGGTCAAACATTTAATTCACTCACTCCTAATGCCTTGGTAGGGCCAGACCAAATGATTTCATGGGCCTTATGTAGCCTGTGGGCCGGATGTTCCCCACTCTCGATGTAAGGGAATATTGCCTCTTCTCTGTACCCATTAGAGTATCTTTTGTATAATAATTATGTAATTATATTGGCTTTATTTGGTTTGTGTTTTACAATGAGTGATTTTCACATATTGAAAATATCTGTAAACTTAATAAGCAATAAATTAAAAATAGGTTATGAATGTAATAGGTGCTATAATAATGCCCTGCAATTTAGTATTCTATTGTATAAAACATTTTCACATATTTTATCTCATTGAACTATATTTGCAAGTGTTCTAGCCTAAGATTATTCCTTGACTTAAATAAGTCTCCTTAAAGATACAAATTTACTTTAAACACTGTTTACTGAGTTGTCTCACAATGATTGCAAGATCACCTTACCTCTTATATGTATCACAAGCACAAGCTACAACTTGCCCATTTATAGACCTTTCTCTACCCATTATTATTATGGACTACATCTGCTAGTGGGATTCCAAACTTCTATGCAGTTTACATTCTTATAGTTCATAGTCTCTCTACTTCAATAATATGGTATAAATTAGTAACCACCGTATAAATTTGCCCCTAAAGTGCTACTGCCCTTTAAACATATCCCGTGACAAAAATGCTAATAATTTCTAGATTATTGGTTTTATGGAATGTATCCATACAGTAGAGGGGCACAATCTTTAGAAAGTTTATCCTATCACTCAGGCTGAGCACTTCAAACTCATCTTTGTTGCACTTCTAATACTTGATTCCTGTCCCTTCTACCCGGAAAAGATTTGTTTCATTCAATATCCTCTCTGTACTAAGTTCATTTTCAATAGCACCATTTCACACTAAAACTTTCCTACAGACTTTTTAAAAACACAGTTTAAAAAGCAGGACAAAAGGAATTATGCAAATAACAAACTTTCAGTTCTACATTCCTTTTTTGAAATGTAAGTAATTTGTTACAGTGTACTATTACCTAGAATTGCCTCTGTAAAGCAATTTAAGGACTTAAAATTTTTTTAAAATTGAAAATAAAGGAGTCTAAGTAGTTGCAAATCCTGTAAAGTCTACAATTCCCTCTGACAAGCATCTTTATTTCTTGCCAAATAATCTGTTAATCTGTTACATGTCCACATAATAAAACCTATTTATCCTGCATTGGTCTGGAAAAATGATAACTATGTGAGAAATACACATTTTAGGATAAAAAGGATCTTTATACTAAACTAGAGGCCCGGTGCATGAATTCGTGCACTGGGGGGCGGGGGTCCCTCAGCCCGCCTGCGCCCTCTTGCAGTTCAGGAACCCTGGTTCCCGCCACCACTGCTGCTGCAATCGCCAGCCCTTAAGCTAGGCTTCTAGCTCAGCAGCGCTTTCCCTGTGAGAGTGCACTGACCACCATGGGGCAGCTCCTGCATTGAGCATCTGCCCCCTGGTGGTCAGTGCATGTAATAGCAATGGGTTGTTCGGCAGTTCGATCAATTTGCATATTAGGGTTTTATTATATAGGATGCCTTGGGAATGTGTGGAAGGAAGGGCTTTAAGCAAGGAGGGTAATCTCAATTCTGGTTTTTAAAAAATCACCCTGAAGCTTAATGGAGAATAGCTTGTAAAGAGGCAAAAACAGAAAGAGGAAAGTTTGTTAGAGGTCTATTTGATTGTTCAGGCAAGATATATGGTGAAGTGGTAAGAAAAGAGGCCAAAACAAGTTGATGATTTATTTTGGAAGTAGGATTTATTTTGGAAATAGAATTGACCTGGTTTGCTGGTGGCTATCCTTAATGTGAAAGATGAAAGAAAGGGAGG